GGACATTCTTCAGAACTCTAAGACATCAGATGCACACGATATGATATTTTTTGCAGCTTTCTTGTATTCCGTCCTGTTCGGTCATCCCGGAACAGTTTACCAATAATTGTCAGGCGCAACTAAACGATATTAGCAGCCTGCTGTTTTAGAAGAATGACTATGTTTGAGGTATCCAACTACCTTCCGTTGCATGTTGCTAGTCAAGATTATGCATATTCGAATAACGGATTGAATTTGTCCCACTGGAACAAATTTGTGCGACCTTTAATATATTCAGTGACATCAGGAATGTTCTTCATGATGGAAAGTATCTTGCTGCTGTCAGCTTATCCATGCAGTAGTGAATTAATGTGCGTAGCGCTCCATGAAAAGGGAAAAACAACAGGGACAGGAGCGATTCAAACTTAGGAATGGCCGCAGTTCTTCAGCTTCATCGCTGACTGAACACCATTCAGGTTAATAGACACACTGCCAGGACTTGGACGTCGTTTGGTTATGTAGCTTCTTACGATGCCTAAACAGCGTTCCTTTGGGTAGATATAATGAAGGCAAAGAAACGTGGTTCTGCGAGTCTCACCTTCATCAGATTTTTTGAGTGCAAGGTTAACTATCGCTACTAATGCCTCTGTTATGCTAGTGTCGTTTTGACCTGGCCGAAAACGATCAAGATATTCAGCTTTGCCCAAAATCAGCGCAAGCCTAAGATGTTAGAGGCCCTTTTTTGCTTCTGACGATGCTATCTCCATATTTTTGTCATTCAACCGAGATAGGCTGGGTTTCTTTGACAGTCATTTGAACAGCTGACTATAGTTTCGAAAAACCTCTATGCCGAAAGCAGTCGTAAGGATACGCGTGAAATTGCGTAGAACTCTGCATCACGGCTTATTAAAACAGAGGCGATGCTTGGTAGGTCTTCGCACGGAAGCATTCAGAATGTCAACTGTGCAGAGCTTGAGGATTTCAACTGTCGGAGATATACAACGGCAGCCCAATAAAGCAAGAATGTTCTGATCATTTTCGTAGCGCAGGAAATTGATTGCGTTCCTCTATATTCTGTTTTCTTTCCTGACGATCCATTTTGTCTGATGTTTGCTAAATAATAAAGTAACACTTCTTGAGTAGTACTCTGCAACACATGTTGTTGGGCATAATGTTGCACTAGTTACCTATGGTTGACGAAAAAACGTCAGTTTATACCTGTAGCCGTTTTTAGGACAACGAAGTAAGTCACTTTGAATGTTATTTAGTTTATTTAGCTGTGTTCTCAGCAGTCATTGAACGTGAAGCGCGAGATCATCAGATTTTGTCATAACAGTTTCGTTTTATTAACTTAGCTGAGGAGAATATCTTTCGAAATCTCCAAAAGCGTAAAGCAGTGTTTGATCCTCCTTTAATCTATATTCAACTTTTCAATTTCATTTAGCCCTTACAATCTCCATGTTTATCATTAAACTTTTATATCAGCATTTGACAGTATATTCTGTCATGTCGTTGTTGTTCAGAATTTATATTTACATGAATCTTTTAGGTCCAAATGATAAAAAATATTGGCTTGTCGGTAGATGCCTTCACTGGAGAGAGTTTGCGACATGCGATCAACACCTACAGTGATGATAAAACAGTCAGACAGGCACTATATCGCTTCATTTCACACTCTCTGTTATGCCACATCGACAGTGCCGTGTACTTCTGCTCCGGCTGTGAGAGCGATTTCTACCACTTCGCCCTGAACGTACCGTTCTACACGCATTTTACATCACCGATTCGCCGCTACCCGGACATCATGGTTCATCGTCTGTTGGCCGATTCTCTCGGTTCGTCAAAAATTGCTTGCCTTACTTTCCTTGCCTCACGCGCTGTTACCACTTAGGATACCATTCGACCTACCACCCTACGCCAATAGTCATACAGAACATCTGCTCGCACTGCAACACAACGAATCTGAACGCCAGAGTCGCCTATGATCGTAGCGTCGAATTGTTCTTTTGGATTTTCGTCAAGGTAAATGCATCGCTGTTGTCTGATGATCCGTGCATGATATTTTCCGCCGACAAAGCCCTAGCGCTGGAATTCACGAGCCAAGACGGTGCATTCTCTCTATCGCCAAATTTTCCAGCACATCAGCAATCGTTTGCTAAGCATTAGGACTGCCGCTAAATCACCGAACTGTTAGCTTACACCAATAGGTTGTTCATCCATACTCTGCTTCCTTGAGATAGGGTACACGACAACACAGTTTAGGAGATTTAAACATTTATGCATAGATCCATATTATATAGATGCGGTTTGTTATGTTATAAACCATTAGTTGCGCATTGTTTAATGAAATTGTTTTGTGCTGATTTTCAGTATGTATATTTTTTACGTTTTGTGAAAGTATGAGTTACTAGCTTTTGACGCCGCAATGGTGATGAGTGAGTTATTGCTCGTGCCAATGAACACTATGCAAGAAATATTTAAGCACTTCATAGAGAGATGGAGATAGACGAAAGAAACGAGAGTCAGACCACTCCTAAGGCGCAAACTCGAACCACTGTTGTCGAAGCACATGCTATGTTCAAGAGCACAAACATGTTTTTACGTGCTTCTACTCATCTGTTGTTGTCTTAGTAGTTTGGACTTCATGACACGTTCTTTGCAATAATTAGTTAACTGGTGGTCAGTTGTACCGTGTAAATGCTGACAACTCCGTTGGATGGTGGTAGAGAACAGCGGTACGACCATGCGTTGTAACTATACAAATTACGGAGAATGCTGAAAGTTTACAGAAGTGCTTTTATAGAACTGTGGGTCAGTTCAAGACGATGCCGTGGTCGTCAGTATACTGAACCGAGCTTTCAACGTGTTATTTTTGCGTTTCTCAATGAACAAACGAATTTATTGTGAAGTAAGTTTTTCCTTTTGTTATGTACCTCTAGACTAGTTCATAAAACGTGTTAATGTTTAAATCGTTATGCTAATCCTTTGTTAATAGAGGCTGCTCTTTTCTGAAACCTGAACAACTGTGTGATCTCATTCCCCATTCTAATGGAAGACGGCTTAGTATAGTGGTTTTATGATACTTTCTTTATAGATCTCTACATGTGACAGAGTCCACAGTTCTTTCATTTTGAGTTAAAAAATTCTTAGTTTAGATGGATTGATTTTCTTTGGAAATTCGTGACCATCATGTCATTAATTGACCCATATACTTCGCAGAGACCAAATCTCCGTTAAAT